AAAAAATCGACTGTATAAATTAAAATGGCCCACCCTGTATATAAAAAAAACGAAACCACGCGTTTTTATCTTTCGGGTAGAAAAGAAAGAGATTTGTAACGAAAAGATAAGGAATAATTATTGTATTTTGTAAATTTAATTTATATGATGTGCCTGCTTTTTCATAGAAAATACTTGTTATACAGAAAATAAAAATAATAAATTTGTACTTTTCAGGGAAAAGAGATGCGTGATTAAACTAAATTATAATAAATCTTTTCGCGCATTTTTTATTTTTATTTGTAAAGACAAGTATTTTTTATTTAATTGATCATATTCAATTATAAGACTAATGCTACATTACGTTTAACTAAATTCTTTTCCTTATTAATATTATTTTGCACATATAAGTTTAGTAATTGTGTAATTAGAATACGTAAGATTCAAGGCATGGTGTAACATGCAATTGCATAATTATATTTTAGTTATTTGACGACGCGATACCACGATCGGAAATATTATATAACTATAAAAATAAAAAAGTCGCAGATATTGCATTATACATTTGCATTCATTAGCTTATCTCTTGGAATGAATTGACATTATTAAGGATAGTTATTAGTCGATGATACACCATGCCTTTGAAATCCAAATTATAATTATAATAGCTGAATGTTGCATCAAATTGAAAGCGAAAACAACGATGTAAACATTATCACATATTTGCGTGCATATTTGTTGCGTGCGATGCACCTGTCTGATCTTTCTAAGAAACCCAGTATGAATGAAACACAGTGCACAACATCGAAGCAGAGTTCTTTACGGAGGGTCGCGAGTGCGTGAACTGCGGCGCAATTTCCACACCTTTGTGGCGTAGAGATGGTACCGGACATTACCTCTGCAACGCATGTGGTCTCTACCATAAGATGAACGGAATGAATCGTCCATTAGTTAAACAACCACGTCGCCTGGTAAGGAAGACTTCACGACGACTCCACCGCAATGCTAGTCGCGATCCGGAAACGGAACGGTTTGGCAAAGTCGTTTGCAATATTCGGAAACTCGAAGGCTCTGTATAGATCTACCATGTCGGACTTTATTTTACGCTTTACCTCAAATTCGTTGCTATTATCCGAAAATTTTTTGGAAAAAATTTTCTCAGAGCAATTTTCTTAAGCGTTAAGAGACGTAGATAAGCTTACAATTAGATGAGTCCGATGCAAACAGTATTTTGCAAATCACGAATGGGTTCCACGAATCGAACTAACCGCAACCATACATTCGAAAGAAATAAGAGAGAAAGAGACAGAAAGAGAGAAGGAGAAAGAGAGAGAGAGAGAGAAAGTAAGGAACCTTTCTCGCTCGTTCTCGTTTATACTATCCAGGAGCCTATGTGGAAATTCGCCCGTGACGTTCTGCCCTTTTAGTAAGTCTAAAGGACACTCAACAATTGTATCCTTGTCTTCGACCGTAACCAAATAAATTCTCCTCGCAACTTGCGATGTTAAACTCGTTTTGTGTTCGAAAGTCGACACACCGTGTGTATCTAAATGCACGCAGGAAAAAAGACGCCCTTAACGTATGGCCTCATGTCTGTTTCAGTGGCGGACCAGGGCAATTTCTACAAAGACTTCTGTGGGTATAGTGGCTCCCGTCGCGCCCTCGGGGAGGAGAAAACGAGCCGTCGTATGGTAGGTGTCATCCTCCCAAATCAGCATTCTCTCTCTTTCTCTCTCTGTCTCTTTCTTGTTATCTGTCTTTCCCTTTCTTTTTCTCTAATATTATAATAATAATTTTTGCCTGATGTCTCTTTTTCTCTCTATCCTTTTATCACCACGCCTCCCTGTCTTTCCGTTTCTTCATCACACTGTTAACCCCGTGTATTTCTTCAGCTTATCACCAACGTTGATCCGTTACTGCGGCCGAGTAGCAATCAAATTCTTGATACATGCATACTGACACTTTTAAACACGACGTGTTTAATCAAGCATGTAATGGAAATATGTTGTAGATAGATAAATAAAGATTTATGTGATATTATAGGTACGTTAATATAATTCTAATTGAATGAAACATGTAAAAATCTTAAAGTTTATACAGAGGTGGAAAACTGCTTGTGGTCAAGGATCGACAGTTCCCTTTCTATATCCCAACTTTCCTATAATTTTTCTATCGCGTTAACATCACGCTTGCTTCGATCACTCATCATTATACTAAATTCTGTTAATATCGAGACGAAGGCAGTCGTCCTTGACCGTTTTCGTCGTCGGTGGCGCATTTCTAGTAGAAAACATTCGAGTCGTAGCCCCGAGGTGCCACTATACCCACGGTACGAGCACTTTCTTTCCCGAAATCACGTGCAGCCTGTTGTAAAGTACGTCTTGTCTCGCAATCACGTGCCGCTTGCAATTTCCGATCATACGAAATGACTCTTTGTGTCTGTTGAGTTTTTCCAGGCTCGCGTGATCTTCGTGACCGAGGGTGGCTCGCTTTTCTGCTCCGCGGTCTCTGCGGTACCTTGCACAGAAAACTTTCTAATTATGGTAATCTGACTTAATCCTTTCCCGAATTTGTTGCATCGGAGCTCCTTAACGATTCGATAGGGAAAGCGATTGACCATTGGATACCACGAGTTCCCTTTTAAATGCTCAAATATTCAAAATAACTTTCCGACAATACTCTCGTATTATTATACGTTAGCTTCTTCCGAAATTTAGCACAAGTTTCTCTCGTATTTTGTATATATTTTCAATATCATTCAATATGTTTCGTATTTGTAATCCTGTAACACAATATCGTATATCTTTTAAGAGCAATACAATCCATCATTATGCTTTCATCAGACTCTCGGCTACGAAATCATTCTCAGACCTTTTCTGCCAAAGGTAGTGGCGTATAATAATGATTTTATATCTCTTCAGTCGGCCACGAGACGCGTCGGTCTCTCTTGCAGTAACTGTGAAACTACGATGACGTCTCTATGGCGTCGCAATGCACAGGGTGAACCAGTGTGCAATGCCTGTGGTCTTTATTACAAGCTGCACGGCGTCAACAGGCCATCAACCATGAAGAAAGATAGTATTCAAACGCGCAAGCGGAAGCCTAAGGGTGGAATGAAAAGCAGCGATACGCCTCTTTCGGGCAGTGTCGCGCAATGCACGAACAACAACAACAACAACAACAACAACAACAACAACAACAATAGCGTTAAACTTGAATCAGGTATATATTACTTAAATGTTTTTTACCAGTTTTGCCAATTCAACTTTTTTCCCCGTCAATTCTTTCTCGTAGCATTTTCGCGAAACACAGTTATCCAGATAAAATACGCCCAGATAAACTACTTTACCACATTTTATGCGTCAGATTCAAATTATATCAAAAAACTATTTTGCTATGACGCCGTAGACCCTTACACCGATCTGAGGATGCCTCATACCGGCGTGTCGCAAGTGACGTATTCGACCAGTCTCTACGGTACTCCCCAATCTTCGAACCGAATGATGGCCTATCAACCGGCGTATTACGATCTGCTCTCGCAGCAGCAGCAACAGCAACACCAACTGCTGGCTGAGAGCCATTCGCTGAAGATCGAATGTCCGTCTCCACCTTGCACCACGCGCTCACCTGGAATGATTTCGGCAGGTCAATCACCTGACCATCATCAACTCACCTCGCCACATATTGTTACTCTAGGTAGTCCGTCGACCAGTCCAGCTGGACCTAAAATTATGCTGGACAATGGTCATCTCGAGAGATCTACGGTTGTGTCGATATCATCCTAAACGCATTCCGGGAAGACGCCGGTTTTGTTTCAGAATATAAATATAAATATAAATATATTTTATTGATTCTCCTTAGGGTTACAAGGCGTTTTAGAAGGAACGTGCCCAAACCTCTTGTAACACCTCTCTCTATTATCCACTTCGCTGTGTGGCGATCGAACGAGAAACCAACAATGTTTTGTTTGGTTTTGAACCTGGATCTTCGGATTACCAGACCAGCGCACAATCCTCTGCGCCACGATCGCCACCGGTTTTGTTTCAGAAAGACAGGCAATAAGTACATGAAACATAACTTAATAGCAAAGTAAATGCCTGTCGAGTAAAATACTTGGATTCGATCCTACACTTTTTACTTTTTAACCAGCGAGACAAACGATCTCGCTGCTCTTACTTTCCTGTGCGTATTGTGATATGCAAAATTGGAAGTTATATATCTTTTATGAATATGTGAAACTATGAAAGCAGTTATAAATGCTCTTGTAAATAAGAGTTTTAGGATATTTTAGGACTTTAGAATTTTTCGGAAAATCGTAGCTTTTTTGATACGCAAAATTTCCAAGGGGACACAGATTTTCTCTTTGAAAGAAAAATCATTTTTTTCTTTACTTTATGCTATTTTTATTCAACTTTTTTTTACCAAAGAAGATTTTACTAATAAATCTTGTGTCAACATGTAAGAAAATACCAAATTACAAATGATATTGTATCTGTATATATATGTATAGGGGATTTTTTTTCTTATGTAAGATTACGTATAAGTGTACTTATATTTCAGCTATAAAACTACATAGAAGCACAAAATATTCTAAACGAGCGGATATTTCTTTGATATAACATAAAATATATCGCGTGAGAGCGGTAAAAATTATTAGAATAATGTAACATAATACAACTATATGATTAAATATATAGCAACAATGGTGTATATTATAAACATATTTGACGGTTCTACGAATAAATGTATGCGACATGATACATTTTTTTATACATTTCCTTTTCTCTCGTAATAAATAGAGTCGAGGTTCGTTAGCAAGTTGCGTCAATGTGTTTCGCATAATACATATATTTTTAGAATGTGTATTTCTAAATAAAAATATTTTGAACGGAGCTAGAAAGCTTTGTTTTAATCATTTATATGATTTATGATAATTTCAAGGTAAATTTTTGTTTTGAAAGAAGACATTTGGAAACTTGAATTATCAGTAAAGTCACACGATTAAAAATTATTGTTATTAACAGGAAAAAGTACGGTATGACGTACTATACATGGTTTATAATGAATTGCGAAAGATTAATCCAATATGCATTAGTACCTATCGTAATGCAATAGTGAAATATAAAACATCTATACATTTTTCCGCAGAATTCTTATTTAAGAGATTATTCTTAGAATTATCTGAATGGATAATTTAAATTATACATACAAACGTTTATATGGGCCCTCTGTAGCGTTCACAAAAACATCTACATGGTTGATGAGAGGCGAGGAGTCAGTGAACGGCCGAAAAAAGTTCATCCTTGTGTATTTTCGGCGATAATGCAATGTCTGGGCTAATCTTTGTAGTCACATATGCCCCCTCTTGCAATGGCGTAGCTGATATAATGATCCACAAAAGCTTTAGAATAATTAATTATTCTTTAAATTATTAAGTTGATTGTTTATTTAATCTTTAATTTTTTTAGATAAAATTTTTACTTTTAATATTAAATATATAATTTCTACAAATGACATTTTAGCTAATATTTTTCTCTGTAAGAAAACGTTTTCAAATTTGCAGAGATTTTATTCAATAAAATTGGGGGAAATACATTTTACATTATATTACTTTTAATTCAATTTTCTTCTAGATCCAGGGATTTGTAAAACTATATTTTGACATTTTGTTGAAATTAAACTGTAATTTTACGCATCATGAATTTTGATGACGCTACTGCATCTGGGACAGTAATGCTTGTGTTGTCTTATTAGGACGATATCTCACCTGATCCTCTTATCAGCGGGGTATCCTAGTGTGTGCTTTGTAGCCGTGACTACAAACCCTCCGCCTTCAAGCTTCGTTCTTCCTCCAACAAAATGATTAAAAAAATGATAGGTATGCGTCTGTATATACCTGAGGTACCGATTAAGGAGCTCCGTGAAAATAACCTGAGACAAGAGTACCTGTGAGAGAACCGAACATACCAAAGATAAAATATTTCTGTTTTGGCCCGGAAGATTCTTTTGTAACATTTTTTATTTGAATACTAATATTCCTCTTTGTTTCTCGTTATACAGTCTTTATATTAATCGCTTTTAACATTTAACAATCGCTCGTAAAAATTGATTATTTCGTTGGTAAATAGATAATTACACGAAAGCAACTTTCATAGCTCACCACTACAGTTTTCTCAAGTTACTACGATGCAATGAGGGAGGAACGCACGGACGGGAGAGCACCGGTACCAATATGGCGACCACGGAAGAGATCTTGACGCAGCACAGCACGGCGGCAGTTGCTTTCTAATTGTCGTCAGTTAATATTTGAAGGCTCTCGGATAAAATCGAAGCTTCGATCTCGCGCTACCAGGCGGCAGTTTCGACGACGACGAAGAGTAGCGACAGGCCTCCTCGCTCTCCTCGTGGAAGCGCACCTGTGTCAAGCGCGCGCCGCGTGCGTGTCTCGCTCACAAACTCACTGGTAGACGCAGTAACGGCGAGTAGCGAGCTCCAAGAACGTCGGAGCACATCGTGGAGCATCGCAAGTGTAAAGTCGCAAGTAGTTTCCAGAGGAACGCACCACGTAGCCGCTTTTTTCGACGCTCCCACCTCATTTTATCCCCTTCGTTGATTTGTAAGTTGAAATCCCTTATCGTTCTTTTCGCAATCATTTTTTCGGCCATACGATTTTGCGCCTTGTCAGAAACCGGCGTCGCGACGCCGAGTTACATAGCGAGTCAATCAACAAATCTGGCGTGACTACAACAATGTTGATTGTCGAGTGAGCGCATATTGTCGTCGTTAGATCAATTTGCTTCCGTTTGTAGCTAACAAGTGATTTAAGACAAGATATAGGATATAAATTAATAATTAAAATTGATCGTTCGATAAATAAAATAGATGACGCTTTGAGTGATAGTTTTCTCCCGTATTCCTTATATAGTATTCCTTATAGTAGGAGGTGAAATGGATCGCAACGATCAGTATTTTAAGCGAGTATTAACTTTATAATATTAATGTAAGAAAATTTCTACTTAATATTAGTAGAATCGTATGCATAGTCATAATTCAACACAATTTAACGTCCTAAATAACATTCCGCTGCAACAAAATCTATTATTAAAGAAATTATTAAGATATTTATATATATATATGAGCGAAACATCTACAGAAATACACACATACACTCACACATGTGGAATTCAGGAGCAGCGGATCGTCTAGCGCGATTTTACCTGATCGCGTTGAAAGAGAGAGAAAGACACGCGTGCGAGAAGGAGCCGGACGAAAGCGAGCATCCGTGGTAATGCGAACAACGCTGTACACGAAAGGAACACTTGTGTTTTATGTTCGGCACGTTCTGACACTTGTGTTTTGTCCGCGGTCCGCTATTCCTCCTCGTCGATGCGATCTCGACGTCAAAATCTAGACACAGGTCTTGCCGATTCGATTAATTCATCTTTTCCTCCTCGCTCTCTCTCTCTCTTTCTTTCTCTCGTTTGGAGAGAGATCTTCTTTTTCTCTTTATTTCTCTTTTTCAAAGCCTCATTTCATCGTTATGCCGATTCCATGTCGAAGACGTGTCGCACGTGCATCCAAAGCTTGTGCGAATAACATTACCGTCGCGAGTCGGTTGAAATCATATGAGCTCATTAAATTACACGTAATCTATCCAACAAACGCGAAAATATTTGCAGACCTTTTAGCACTCTCGCTTACGGCATATTAATTATTTTAATATTTAATTAATCCACACGTGTCTGGTTCATGAGCGAGACACGTCCCAAACGACGGTAACTAGATTGCAAGATCGTTGTCGATCATGTAAATATTAAATCGGTAATTTAGACTGCCTCGACGGTGCGTACTCGCGACGGAAGATTTCAATAAACCTCTCAGACTTGCTCGGATAAAGAGAGCACATTCCTAACACTTTCTTTATAAATAAATTTTCTAAAATTCACATGTCACATCTATTCAGTGTCATACTTGTATTTTCCACCTAACGCATATTTTATTTCCGACGCATCTACTGCTTCGAACATAGCACAAACTTTTTTCAGTCGCGATTTTTATCACTCGCAATTATCATGCGGAATATATTCATCGACACTGCATCTATTTTCTGTTAAATATCGGATTGCGCGAATACTTACGATAATTTTATCTCAATTTTACGTCGATCTTGACACAAGCTCGAAAGCAGCGGTCGCTAACAACTGTCTTCGCACATCTCTCAGAGGAACAAAGTGACTTTTCACGTCTTTTGTCGATCACGTTTACGATCACGTTCGCGATCACGTTCTATTTTCGAATATACGATTGATCTGACTTCGATCTTATTTTCACCTGCAGATCACAAATCGCACGACATTCGGCATCGGTGCTTCTCGCGGCGTCTGGCACGAAACTATTTGTCGCCAGGAAGAGAGATATCCCCTGAGCGCAGATAATATTTTATTAATCATTAAGCACATAGCCGCCGTACATAAGATAATGGGAATAATATCAGGCAATGACGATAATACTGTTTGTCGTGTACGTTAATTATTGGTCCTCGCATCGCCGCCGACTTTCGTGCTGCGCCGTCGGCGACGATGTCTACTCTCGATTGTCGCGTCGATTTATTCCAAAGTGCTAAAGCTCTTTGTGAAAAATATCAGAAATCTTGTTTGTTTGCCCCAACGGTGTGATAATCTTTGAATCAGAAATAATGGCAACCCAGGAGAAATTCTTTAAATATTTTGCAATTCTTTGATTCAAGTGGAATATTTACGTGTGAAATATACATTTGATAGAATTCACTCTTTCATTTTCATCATTTTCCTAATTTGTCACCGTCAAAGAGACGATCTAGAAAGATCTAGAAAGACCTAGAAAGCACGGGTTTGAGTTCCAAATGCGGTCTCAATATAAATCATTTTTTTCAAGGTCCCGTGACGTTCCACTCGTGGCCGAACGACCGAAATACAAATATTGGAATAAAAGGTTTCGATCCTGTCGCTACGCTGCAGAAATGCAAACAACACTATAGCGTACCATATGCGTGTCTCGCCTTTTCTCTTCTCGAGATACAATAGGCGATTTTTAAAATTACACCTGTTGCAAACATATTTTCATAATTTTTGATAGAAAATCTGATACGAGTATAAATATCACTACTTGGCATTGTTCTTTAGCTTCGAATCTATTTTTCGAATATTTTACCACAAACGGGCACACTATATTTGCGACGAAAACAATGAGCACGAAACTTGTGTTTGCACAACGCGGTCGTAACGCGATGTTAATCCCGTCGACGTTAAAATCGAGACAGTTCTGTCTCGTTGTAAATTTCAGTAATTGCGCTGTAAAACCTTCTTCATCTTTGCACGCATCGCGGACGTGAAGCATCACCATCGAGTCATTTAAACACACGCCATAAAGGACTTGTTCATTCGCCATTTTGGTGCACAAGCATGCGCTATACTTGATTACGAAATGATGACAAATTGCAATAAAGTTTTATTGACTTCTTAGTATTCAATAAGATCCGAGCACTTAGCGCTATCGTTTTCTGTCTCGTATTGCGTCTTGAGAAATCTTAATCTGTTATCGCGTCAAGCTACAACGCTAAATTGTAATTACAAGGTACAGCCGTGCAATTCTTCGGATGCTTAATTTGGAAAGAAGTCTATCTTTTTTGGAATTTCAATAAAGCTTTAATTTATATTCCATTGTAGAGATATTTGAAGTTTGAAAGTAATAAATAGAAATTGTATGGAACGGGGAAAAGTGCCAATGCGAGCCACAAATGAACGGAAGACGGTTCTCACAAATTTATAAATAACTTCTCTCTTTAATAAACGTTTCGACCCTGTTTCGGGTCTTCCTCAGTATAACTCGTTAAATGTATAGTTCAAGAATCCCTCTTCTATCAAGGTCTCATTTTTTCTCTAAATGTTCCCTGTGTCAACAGACTGTGTTAACAGACAGTCGTGTTAAATCCTTTACAACGAATTCATCTCTGTCGACGTGTCTTCAGTCCTCTTTATGTCCGGGAACATTTAAAGAAAAAATGAGACCTTGATAGAAGAGGGATTCTTGAACCATACATTTAACGAGTTATACTGAGGAAGACCCGAAACAGGGTCGAAACGTTTATTAAAGAGAGAAGTTATTTATAAATTTGTGAGAACCGTTCTTCTGTTCATTTGTGGCTCGCATTGGCACTTTCCCCGTTCCATACAATTTCTTTTTGAGAGCCTTCACAACATTGGAATAATAAATAGGAATTTCGATATCTTTATTGAAACAAAATCACTTTATATTAATTAGGAAAGCCATAATTAAAAGAATATTCGATAATTTTAGGACACTGTATATATCAGTATACTTTGAACCGCATGATGTCAACGGGCGAAAATAAGACGTCATTTTCGCGTAGATTCTCAGCGATATGGATTTTCACGTACACACGTGTACGCCAATCACGCATCTACACACACCTGTATTTTTTTCATATACGACGATAAGGGATTTCTACGTGGCTGATAAAGAAAATGGCCTCGACGTGTTCGCGCCCCGTTTAATGACGTAAATCCTCTTTGCTCGCTCGATTTTTATTTCCGACGTGTTTGCTTCAGAAAAATACGAAAATTCATCACGTATTAATTTCCAGGCACAACGCAGTAGTACTCACAACGCGCACATATTTCATTTATGTCACCACTTGCAAGACTTATAACACACTTTCCGCACCTTTTTATGAGAATCAACACCCATTCACATGTTTGTATGCTCCATGAGTTACTCAGTTCGATCGTAAATCTGTAAACTTTACCCTCATACATCAAGCAGATTTCTCTTAGATGAAAATCCACGGAAAATTTATTCCGGGAATTACTCACTGGCGTTAGATAACACTTGAGAAATTTCCTTTCGGTAAAAGCCATAAGATAAGCGCGAAATCGTATCGACTTTTTTCGCTACACTTTTGTCGGGCTACACTTATCAGCTGGAACCTATCTCGTGCGATGCACTTTGGGTCAAAGAATGTCTACCGACCCGTTGTCGTGAATGCCTGAGAAGTTTGCGAGGAACTCACTTGGGGAAATCTATAGACCGGCACTGCGGAGGAGAGTAGAAGCGTAGGAGCGGCCCTACGCGCTCCTGGCGAATCCGACGACTGAAATTATCATTTTAGCTGATATACTAGCTAATGTAAGGATGCAGTTTTATCTCTTATTATCATGGGAAACGAGATAAATCGCGATAGT